AATTACACAATTTACAAAATACACATTCCTGTAACAGTTCAGGAAGAAGTGTTGAAAGGAAAAATAAAAAAGCACTTTTCTTTCTCTTGCAGCAGCAGGACCATCGAGTCCAGGGGAGGCTCTCAGCCCTGTTACCCCAGAAGAGGAGCTCCTGAACCGGGCAGTGGTGCTCCTCTCCTGCGCCTCCTACAGGAACCAGGCGCTGCACGTCTTCCTGCGCCCCGCCCTGCTGGCCTCAGCCCTCCACACCGCCGCCTCCACCCAGAAACGTGAGGCTCGCACACAGTTCTCTAAATGAGCAGCTTTCTGCCTTTTCAAACATGATCAGATTATTATTATAATTGTTTTAATTATTTATTCTACTATTAGCAGGAGGGCAGAAGCATAGCTTATACAGAGGTAACCCCGTTAGTCATCCAGTTGCAGGATAGAGTAAAAAAAATGATTCCGTAATTACATACTCAAACAGATAAACAAAATTATATATATATATAGAGTGGGGCAACAAAGTATTTAGTCAGCCACCAATTGTGCAAGTTCTCCCACTTAAAAAGATGAGAGAGGCCTGTCATTTTCATCCTAGGTACACCTCAACTATGAGAGACAAAATGAGAAAAAAAAAATCCAGAAAATCACATTGTCTGATTTGTAAAGAATTTATTTGCAAATTATGGTGAAAAATAAGTATTTGGTCAATAACAAACAAATAAGATTTCTGGCTCTCAGACCTGTAACTTCTTCTTTAAGAGCCTCCTCTGTCCTCCACTTGTTAACTGTATTAATGGCACCTGTTTGAACTTGTTATCAGTATAAAGGACACCTGTCCACAACCTCAAACAGTCACACTCCAAACTCTACTATGGCCAAGACCAAAGACTGTGGATAAGGGTTGCAAATAAATTCTTTAAAAATTAGACAATGTGATTTTCTGGATTTTTTTTTTTCTCATTTTGTCTCTCATAGTTGAAGTGTACCTAGGATGAAAATTACAGGCCTCTCTCATCTTTTTAAGTGGGAGAACTTGCACAATTGGTGGCTGACTAAATACCTTTTGCCCCACTGTATATACATACACATACATATGCACACATATACATACATACACACATTTCCAGGGTGAAAATAAAAGAATAAAGTAAAACAAATAACAAATTCCTACGAGTCCATGTTCAGATAACAAGACAGTTTCATTTCCCATCCTATTTGAATGTAAACTGATAATTAAAAGTAAAGGAGAGAAAACCACACAAAGAATTGTTCACTGTTATATTTAACCTTTTACCTGAAGAGATTTAGGCACAGTAAATTCCAAAGAAGTATGCTTGGGTTTTGTACCTGTTGGATGTTTTGTAATGTTGTTTCAAGACGTTTTTCTTCATTGTTGGTATCTTACTTACAGTAGATGGTGGTCAGTTTGCCTACATTGTGAGAAACAGACAGGACCATGTCCAGTAAAGCTGTTTCTCTCCAGACTGAATGTTAATCATTTTGTGTTTTTTGCAGATGAAGTCTTCAACAGTTTCAGCTTCCTCAGAAACATTTTCTCCAATGAGTTCATCCTCTGTCCTGGAGCTACAGTGCAGGTGAGGAACAACGTTTGTTTAGCATTGTACCTCAAATATAATTGTTAATAACATTGGTCAAATGTAGGGAATTAATTGTTGTGTTGGTTTACTTGAAATGTTTTGACCTATTTTTTTAGGAAAGGAAAATAAACATGCCTTATTTTATACCCTTTAATTGTTAAAAGCATTTTCTTTGTTTGCTTGTAGAAGTGTATATATATATTTAAATAGATCAATTAAAAAAAACAGCCCAAACAATCATTATACTAATACATTTAATGTGATTTTATAAAAACATATTAAGGGGGAGGAAAAGAAAAAGAACACTACCATATTAAGAGGTATTTTAGATTGTATGTTTTAATACGTGACTCCTGTAGGACTTTGAGGAGGCCTGTTTCCTGCTGGTGAAGACTGGAGTTCTGCAGGTGACCCAACATGAGGTTCTGGTCACAGAAAGCGGACACAGAACTCTGTCCTTCCTCACCAATATGCTGGATCCCTTCCTTCAAGGATACCAGGTGAGAGGCTTTTTATTTTAAATGCACAGCCAGAACTATTTGAAGAACGTTGATGTGTTACACTGCAGATGTCCACTAGAGGGTGCTGTTGACACATATGAGTTTTAAGAGCTGTGTGTGTGTTTGTGTGCTCGCGCTCGCGTGTGTGTGCTCGTGTGTGTGTGTTCAGGTGGTGTGCCGATTCCTGTGTGAAGAAGCCACTGAGACTCTGACAGAAAAACTGTTTATTCCTGCCGTCCGGAAGTTCATCATCAAACGTCTTTTAGCAGGTTTCTACCTTTTTTTTAAAAAGTTTCTCACATCATTTAAAATGTGCTTTTATCTCAGTCCTCTACTACAGAATGTACTGATTGTGTGTGTGTGTGTGTGTGTGTGTGTGTGTGTGTGTGTGTGTGTGTGTGTGTGTGTGTGTGTGTGTGTGTGTGTGTGTGTGTGTGTGTGTGTGTGTGGGGAGAGACCTTCACTGCTGTCCTCCCATGGAGCTACAGGTGCCTGTTAGGCTCTTAAGCGCCCATGGTCCTGCAGTCGGCCTGAGGCTGTAGAAGTACAGAAA